GATGTACAATTTCTACCGATAGGAAATGCCTACTATAAAAGCTCTACTGCATAAACGTAACGTTCTACCAGTAAAAATAGCCTACTAGAAAAGTTATACCGGTAGGTCTTGCCAGTTTTCCTCTGTTTCCAACCTTTTTCAATTCCAATCCTTTTCAACCCTTTACAACACCAACCCAAACTCACTTAACATCCATTTTCAAACAAAATGCAGTTCATATAAGTTCTATTACAATCCCTTACATAACATTACATATCCCAAAAACTAAATTACATATTAGTTTTGCAAAAGTATAGTTTAAAAGCTACATCTTGGCTTTTCTTCAACCATTAAGACCCGAATGAGAACCGTCCACCGGCGTATGTCCCACACTTAAAATATTATCTTCATAAAGAGTGAGCCACACTCAATAGGGTATCTCCTAAAGTGGCTACTCCCCAACCTAGATGTATATAAAAATTCACATACAATTCACAAACAACAATTGCTCCATTCAACAATATGCTCGCTCTCTCTGGGGATTATTCTCTTCCAGTCGTTGCCACCTCTACTTCTCTAAGAGCAACGCGGAATGTCGAGTGTGAAATTTGATCATGATTGGGTTAGTCTTTCTTTTATGGAAAGGGTATACTCCTCATTGGGGTCCATACTCACCTCTAATCCGTCTGTTAGCTCCAGACCAGAATCAACCTCTACAATCTCTACAACTGGAGGAGAGTCATTTTATTCCACATCCTCAACTAGTTACTCGGGTTTATTCTCCTTTGGACCAAAGACCTGGGGTAAGACGTAGCTTACATCTATTCCATGTTCCTGCTTTTCTTCTTTTCAATCCGAAGCCCCTGAAACATCGATCATTTATCCTTAGACAAGGGTGCATTCTTGTGTTCACCTGTCTCGCTTTTGGGTATGGTCAATTCCTTACCTTCGAAGGGTACTTGACAGTTTCTTTTATTCCGATAATATGCGAAGAACAATTTCATTGCCTAGGCCTATGCACAACTTTCTACCGCTATCGTCTTCCGCGGGAGAATCATACTAAAAGCCCAAAGTTACAAGTTGGATCAATTATAATAAAAAAAAACAAGAAAATAAATTGGCATCACTAGCGATATCTTTTTCATGGTCTTATCGTGACAAAGCAAGAATGTTCAACCTGTTCAGGATCTCTTGGTTTGGCTTACGTCGGACCGTACCTAATTGATCTGCTTACCAAATGACCAACAAGGCTCACATCAGGGTATGACTATAAAACCTTTAGATGGCATTCTTCTTTCAAGAAAGGTTTAAACTCCCGTACCATTCTGCCAGAACTCTTCTAATCCCTTTACCTATATTTTAAGTGAGGATAACAACGAACTTTTTTGGGAGAGAAATCCTTAGTCTTCCAAAACTTGATTATGATATACCTTATGCTCCCTCTTTCTTGGTCCATTACAAGAGATAGGAGGGCCTATACTGATCCCAGCCTTTTTTGCCCAATCGATAGACAGAGATCGACCTCGCTTACCTGACTACTCTTCCCCGACTTATAGAGGTGCCAGACCTAACTAATGAGAAAGCGCCCACAAAGCCCTTGATTTACTTCCAGCGGAGAGCAAGTAAAGGGCACCCAAAGCATTAGGTCTCCCAATCGACCAGAGAGGGACAGGGGTAATGCTGGTCTTTAAGCTTAGTTTCAAGGTAAGGGGTTCAGCTGCTTTCCTTCCCTAGAGGAGAGGGGAAGGCGCTAGCAGNGAGGGACAGGGGCAGTCCCGGTCTCCGAGCTTAGTTGCAAGGTAAGGGGTTCAGCTGCTTTCTTTCCCCAGAGGAGAGGGGAAGGCGCTAGCCGCATTCTAGCCGCATTGAGTAGCCATAAGAGTTAGAAGACAGCCATCAAGGAGGGCAACTCACATAGGGACAGCCCTTTTTCCAGCTGATATAGAATGGAAGGGGAAGGAGGAGAAAGATAAAAAGGCAAGCAACAGACTCTGATAGACTCTATGGGACCATCTCCCAAGGGAGAAGCCTTTCTTTTTTTGGGTACCCCTATGTAGGTAGTTTTTTCCTATCATGGCATGGGGATTAGAGAGAAAGAGTTTCGAACAAGCACGCAAGCCTGAAAGCATGAGTTGAAAGCGATCGAAGTGAAAAATGGGCCCGTGGGAAGGACAGGAAAGAGGGAAAGCCTTCTTATCAAGGAGCTTTATCCATTATAAAATCACCGGGCTTTGCCAAAGAAAAAAGAAAGTCCCATTCCAGGGGTGTGTAGCAAAGAATCCACCGAGACTAGATTTGAAGATAGTGATGTGCTCTATGAAAGCAATCGAATGTCATGTGTAAAGCATATGAGATGGCTAGCCGGACAGTTCAATCATAGTTCGTGACAAGGTAAAAAGGATATATGATCTTAATTAACAATTGCGGTTTGATTTCTCCTCTTCTTCACCGTAAACCCCTATGGAATCAACCAGACGGACAATGGGAAGCGTCTGAGCGTCTTCTACTCTACTATACTATCTTGGGCAAGCACAGGAAGTGGCACACCTGCCAGCTGACCTTTATTTTATACTCAGTCTTTATGTAAACAAGCAGATAAAGCCAAAAAACAATGAAAGAAAAGAACCAAGCTAAGATTAAAATGAATTAGCTAAGTTCCCTAGTCAGCCCCACGGATGAGGGGCTTTTTAAGTGAAGGGTAAGCATTACATTTTGAGAGGGGAAGACCAAAAGGCAAGGCATACAGATCAAATCCTCCACCAGCAACTGAAGGAAACCTCACACAAACAACTAAAAAATCAAATAGAAGCGCAGCAGCAGAAAGACGAAAGACAGCTTCGGCATAAAGCCAATCTCTTCTAAAAGCTATTGGACGATCGGGATTGTGAAAAGCATTGCCTTTAGTTCTAACCCTCTATCTGCAATAAATCACTTCACTGACGAAATTGAGTGAGGAGAGATTTTATGCATGCTATCTAGCCGCATGTCTTCTTTTTTACATTCTCCCACCGAGAAAGCCCTTTTCCAGCACTCCTTCAGGGAGGGTCAAATAGCGGAGTGCTATTGGAATGAAACCTGATCTCCTTGCCTCGGGAACAATTCTCAATATTCGGGGGCTGGCTTAGCTAAATGTCAAAGCCCGAGGAGGAAGAAGAAGAGCGAAAAGCAACTCTATTTTCGGCTTCAAGCTTCTCCGATGCCACTTACTATTTCTGGGGAGCAGCATCGAAATTTTTCCCAGCTTGTGTTCAACGAGTTCCATCGACCATACTTCGGCATCATTTAAATGTAGCCCGGTGNGGGAGCAGCATCGGAATTTTTCCCAGCTTGTGTTCAACGAGTTCCATCGACCTTACTTCGGCTTCATTTAAAGGTAGCCCGGCGTAATAGACGAGTCCTTAAAGGAGGGAGGAAGAGGAGAAAGGTGAAAATAAAGTCGAACAAATAGAATCGTAGGGCTAACATTTGAGATTAGAATAGAAGAAGGATTTGCCCTAACCGCTACTTATCTAAGATCAGCTATTTCCTTATGAGCGATAAAATACTAGAATGTCTTAGGGAGCCCTTATATTATAGGGAAGACTCTTCCTTTGAAAGAAGTTTTATGACAATGAATGGTAAAAGGGGTAATCAGGGGACAATAGAGGATGAAGCCTACACGGAAGCACGAAATCAAGCAACGGAGGTTGAATTTCACAGGGCTGCAGGCACCAAAAGCCAATCAAATCCGTTAAAGGAAGCCTAATCGAAGCAGGCAAACACGAAGATTTGACTAAGTTGATGATGGACCGGATCTCGAAAGGCGAGGGGCTTTCATAAAGATGTATGAGAAACGGAGGGTTGAGAGAGGCTTTTTGCACGATCCACCCAACCTAGCTAAGCTAATAAATGCTGCATAAGAGAGTGGGAGGCCGACCCCCGCCTATTTGGAGGTGCACACCCATTTAGGAACATATGCAAAGGGGTAAAGAGAGAAGTCAATAGAGAACTACCAAATCCAATGACTTTGATTTGTTCGTACCATTCTGTCATCGATCACTACTGGGTCGGTTGGTGAGTCACCCAAAAAAAAGCATCGAGAAAGGTCAAGCATATATATTTCATGAAGTGATCAGCGGTTTCATTTATGACATCGTTTTGGATTGTACATGTTGATTAAACACCCCGACTTCTTACAAATTTTAGAGTATTCATGGAATTTACCTACTTGGGGTTCCCCTTTTGAGTGACATATTCAGAGACTTAAGAGCGTAAAACAGCATCTGAAAATTTGGAATAAGGATATCTTTGGCAACATCTTTGATAATGTGAAGAAAGTCGAAGACAAATTGCTACAAGCTAAAATAGCTTCGGAACATTGTTGGACTGATGGGAATGCAAAGCTTTTAATGAAGCCAAAGAGGATCTAAACCATACTCTTTCTCATGGAAGAGACCTTTTGTCGTCAGAAATCTGGTATTCAATGCCTTAAAGAAGGTGACAAGAACACCAAATTTTTCCATGTGNCCTTTTGCCGTCAGAAATCTGGTATTCAATGGCTTAAAGAAGGTGACAAGAACACCAGATTTTTCCATGCGGTTGCGAGCAACAAATTGAAAAGAAGCCTCATTAGGAGAATCAAGGATTCAAAGAATACTTGGGTGGAAGATCAATTGACTATTGGTGCTTTAGCTGAAACCTATTTCAAAAATCTTCTTTATTCGGAGGAACACTATATTGATGAAGCCATTTTTCAAGTCATTCCGAAACTTGTCACTGAAGAGGAGAATTTCTGACTTACCTGATTACCTGTTATGGAGGAAGTTTGGGATGTGGTTTCTCTATGTCAGCTGATACTTCTCTTGGACTGGATGACTTTTCAAGTTCATGAGAACATTGAACTGACATGAGGTAAGCTCGATCTTTTTGGAAAAACTCTTCATAAGATAAAAATCCTTCAACAGGATAAGAAAGTTTAGAGGATTGACACCTGAGAGAGAGATCCAGAATCTGAGGAAGCGACTGGAAGGGAAGCAACTGGGCTAGACTGTTGATCTTCTGGAGTAGTCTGAACCTAGGAAATAGACTGTAATCACCGCTGAGAAAAACACATGCTGTGCCGGGTCACTGGAATCCTCTGAGGTCTGCTGAACAGACTGACAATCAGCAGAAGATGCTGAGCAAAACTGCTGGCCTAAAGAGTGAGGTTGATTCGTAACATCAACTGCGGAAGAATGACGTTCGAGTTGATGAACAGGAGAAGGCCACATTACACCTTCATCATCATTCTCCCCCGGGGCTGATTAATTAGGTTAAGGAAAATATGAGGTGACCCCATTAAAGAGAACATTCAAGGATACATCGAGTCTCTTAGATTTCACATCATAGCATCTATACCTAGACTGAACATAACCAAGAAAGACACAAGTGGTTGCCTTGGGGATAATTTCTCTCTTAACTACGTAGGAATATGAACAAAACACATGTATCCAAACACTCAAAAATGCCTATAGTACTGCCCTAGTAAGAAGTTCGTGAGGTGCCGCTATAGCTTCTTCCCTCTCTCTTCCCCCCAAAAAAAGGAGAGAGATGTCCCATGCCTTCTTTATGCACATCCATATACATAGCCAGACACAAAGGTTCTCTTACTTGCTCTAGTGGCTGGCAAAGGTCAACTGAGAGGGGAGAACGAATGGCACAGGAATTGACCGGTTTCGAGCAGACTCGTGGAGCTGCAATTTGGATTATCGTAGGATAAGAGGAGCCATCTTAGGAAATGACTTCACTTAAAAGACAGATGCTGCCGCTGCGAGGCGAGGGAGCAACTTTTCTGGTCTTGCGGTGCACTCATTCCCGTTAGGAGAGTGAAATGATGCCCCACCTTGACTCGAGACCAAGACTTCTTTCAACTAGCATCAATAGTGGCACTGAGCGGCCGAAGATTGATTGAAAAGGCAACCCAGCCGCCCCTCCCCCTACCCTACCTAGCCGCCTACCTACTCGTGTTCGTAGCTCGATGGGAGGTCAAGACTGTGGTCCGACAGGAAAATAGAAGTCGTCCGTATCAAGTGATACATGAATTGCTCAGTAGTGCTTCGCCACTACCGTAGCTGGCGAAAATAGCTTAATGGTAGAGTATAACCTTGCCAAGGCTGAGGTTGAGGGTTCAAGTCCCTCCTTTCGCTCCTGGCTTCGTCCTTTAGTAGACAGTGATTGGAGTGCATAAGCCCCTTTAGAGATAAGGGCGAGCAGCAAGCAGCCCCTTGTATAGGGTTCCAAACCTGTGCTTCTTTAAATATCCCAACATATAATAAAATAGGGGCTATAAGCAGCTAGCTAGCACGCTAGTGTTTTCCCTTACTAGTCAATTACTAGTAAAGGAGCTGCTAATTGTAGCGCGCAGTGTACTAGTGAATAGGAAAAACGAAGTGAGATTACTAATGACGGATGGAGGTTGAGGATAGAACTTGTTCGGTGCCTCAGCCTTGTCTCCTTCGCCGGAGAGTTCAAATGATGGGAATTCTATCAATGAAGAAGAGGCATAGACATTGCCTCTCGATCCAATCCGTCTACCTTAGCCTCCCCAACACACTCTTAATACAAAAGAAACCCCCCGCCATAGAGAAGAGATCTAAAGTCTGGGTCCCCTCGATCACCCTCCCCTGAACCTGAACTGGTCGAGATAGATGAACCCGCACCACATTTTATAACCTTCGAACCGAAACCCCCAACTAGAGTAGAGATGGAATTCCAGAACCTAAACAACTCGGTTGAGAGCTCCGTGACTGGTTCAAGGGAAGGTCCACCAATGATTGATAGGCCATTCCCCCCCTATCCGTCTCTTGATCCCTCATTCCACTAATCCGTTGTTACTGATTCATTCAAGGCATAGACTCCCCCTTTCTTTGTCTTATTAGCGCAAGTCTTCGTCAACAATGAAAGCCGCTGAACTTAAGACTGGAGTTGAGTTGAGAAAGAGGGCTAGGCCCCCGGAGGGCTTTCAGGGACTGGGGAAGACGGGTGGATTATAGAGCTAGAGGCAAATCGAAGGGTTGTCCATTGGGATTGGGCATGGACGAGCCTCGACTGGGCCAATATTGATGAAAAAATGAAAAAAGAAAACTTCTCCCATCGCATCGATAACCGGTGTAGGATTAAAGATCAGGTCTAGGATTCGAGTCAAATCGACCTTTCCTCTCATCTTAGGGTGAGGCAAGGAATTCAATAAAATGTTTGTTGTTCAATATCTCAGCTGCTCAAGAAGTTGGACTAGCTATTCCTCCGACTCGGAGTGGATTCTAAGGGAAGGGCAAAGCCTCACCTTGCAGTAAGAAGGTGTTCATTGCTGGGACGGGTTCAAACTGGACTGAAGGGGGGAGGAATTTCAGACTCCGATCTTCCTGGGGATTCATCACTGGCTAGGGCTTTCGAATCAAAGCATGGGCATCCGTAACTAAGAAGGAGCAGTAGATCGTCGATTAAAGAACCAGGTTAGTAAACTTCTATTGGGACTTCTATTTTTGATTGATTCGACTAGAGGAGAGGGACTCCTAGTAGCAAACTTGTATAAAAGGGCCCCCATAGAGACGCAGGAGATGCAGGAGCCGCAAGTCGGATCGACCAACAAATGATAGGCTTTTGAGTGGGGGATGGGCTCATTCGACTAATTAGTGATCCTTGGGCCTACCTAACACAGATGCCCCTGAAATAGGGGATTGGTTGATCGAAAAGCTCAAGCAGGAGTAGGACATTCCATACAAATATTTTTGATCAGCTAGTTGGTCTTCCTCTCAAATCCCATTTTTTCATCGACTGGTAGGGTGAATTCTAAGGTTCCTTATTCCGGTTGTAAAGTGGAATGGAAAAGGAGGGAGAATAGGCACAGCCAGCCCCACTAGCAGCCTGCGTTTCTGACCCGAAAGGAATTGAAAATTCAAGAAGAATCTGTGTGCACTATCTATGGAGTGGAGTGACTATCCTTACTCTCCTCTTCCATATCTCCCTCTTTTTTGCCTTCGACTATTACCGACTGGCAATGCTTGGCCCAACATTGGATTTGTTTGAAAATAACCAAGGTGGCATTCATTCAATCAAATCTTTTTTACCAGCCCAAACTAATTACTATCTTTGGAAAGGAAGGAAAGAGTTGTTCCCTACATTCCTTCCTTTCCATTGGTTCTTGAAAGCTATCCATCTCCGCTTCTCCCATATTGATTCTCCCTCTCGCATCGGTTCTGCATCAGATGATGAGCCCATGCAAAAACTTTCTATTTTATTGGCGCCCTAAATAAATCAATAGGCTATTAGATTGAGTCGAAAGCCTACCAACGCATAAGGGAAAAAAGTGTGACTTAAGCCTACTTTGCTAAGAGAAAAGAGAGAAGGAAAAGACAGATGACAGCAAAAAATCCTTTCAACTGCGGAGTTGAACACAATGGCTCAGCATTATAATAGGGCTTCGGCCAGGAGATTGATAAAAGAACCTGGTCCTTGCTTAACTCCTTATTTCGTAAACTGATCGCTGGTTGATCTGATCGAACCTCGAAAACGTGAAAACCCAGCTGGGGAGGAATGCATGGTTCCCTGGCGGTTCATGGGATGGACGTTCACAGTCCCCCTCCCTCTAATCTAACCCTACCTCGCTCGCCTAGGCCTGTCGGCACAATAAGAGAATGAGGGAGCTAAAATCTACTTGCTTGTGCAGGCGAGGACTGCTCGGCTAGGTCACGCCAAAGGAGCTTCAAGTGACTTTCTTCTTTGCTCTTCGACAGCCCTAACAAGTCACTCGAAGCTCTGCCCTTTGCCCCGTGTTGTCTGCCTCTAGTTGCCCCCACCTAATGGCTGAAAAATGTTGCAGTCAATTGCCTTTCCTGTTTTCATCAAACAAAAGACTACCACACACGCCCTTTGCCGGCAAGCTACCCTCGTCTACCTCATCTATAGGCATTTCTTTCTATCTGCCTACGCGCGAGATCAGATCGACTACTCTACTACCATCATGACAAAGGTCTTTTCTTCACTTCAATAGGACAGAAAATGAATAGCTTATTCATAAACTTAGAGGCCCTGCACCATTTTATTTAATTTCTCTGTCATAAAGAAAGGGAAGGAAAGATTTTTTGGATCAATCGCCTGAACCTGTCTTTCTTTCTTTGCCTGCCAGAAGGGGTGGCCCAATCACTAATAGATCTCTCAACGAGAGCCTCAAATTATGTTCCAGCTAGAGGAAATTGCTTCGGTGGATCTGGTTGATTGAGTCATTGTGTCTGTCGATACCCACCTACTCGAGTGCGGGTAAGGGCTCACCTGTTGATTGTGTCGTTGCATGCTTTTTAGTAGAGCCCCACACCCCTTTTTTTCCCTCCAAAGCCCTTCGCTCCACTCATTTTAGCACTTCTAATCAGACCTGGCTGAACTAACTGGGAACGACATAGATCAAAGGGTCGTTCATTAGCCCTACTAGTAAAGCACAGGAAAAAGAGGGATTGATTTCGACCTTGCTTTTAGTTGGTTGTAAGGCTAGCTTTTTACTTATAGGGCGCTTAAGCTTAGCTCATCAAACAAGTGAGCCAAAAGTGGGGGGTGGTATTGTATTATCTTATAATAGGAGCACGCCTGCTTTTAGCTCGTAGTTTCACTCTTGCTTTTGCCTTACCTTCTATTAGTAAAGGGCGTGTTCTCATCTTTTGAAAGAAAGATGTACAGTGCTTTACTATGAAGAGCTTCTCGTCAATCTTCGGAGCTAAGCTAGGCACTTGCTATAGGGCGACCGACTGAGACTCTTTCTTCTTTTTTCGTAGTAGTGTTGAACGTTTCCACTCGGCTCCCCTTTTTTCTTATTTTTTTCATTCTTTTCTTATGAGATTGTGCATAACAACCTTAACCGCACAAGCCTGAGCTGGGCTGGGTCTACCTCAATCCCTAGAGGAGCGGTATGAGGCGGAAGCTCTACGTACGATTTTGAAGCCAAGCCTTTCCAGCAATAGGGCCTAGGGACCAATATGATGATTGGTTTAGGTAGGGCGGTCGGCCTACTACGGGAACCTGTAGGGATTAATGTGTGAGACTGCGATCCACAAATTGACGCATGGGACTCACCCTTTACTTGGGAATAGAGAGGGGAACCCTAGCATGTCACAAGAGCGAGGCGAGGTTTGGAACCCTACTGCGAGAGGGACGCCTTGCGAGACGGGCTTTTAGGGATGAGGCCTTTTGGCGAAGCCAAGTCAATTTTGGGCCACCAAACCCTCCAACTGATGAGAAGGCCCTACGGAGTCAAAGGAAGCGTGTACGTTGTCACACTCCCTGCCTTCCAAAGGTGCCTAGAGGACGGGCCAGACGCAGCAAAGTGACAACCCAAGAGCGGATTCCCCACCAGTAGGGGGGACAGTAGATGGCCATTTCAAGGCACATCATGACCTACAGGCAACACCGGCGAGACCTGGGAAGACAACCCGATTGGGAGTCTGAGGATCCATAGTACCTGCAGCCTCTTGGACTTCATATTCATCATTTTTGAAAGCGGGGAGAAGGGATCTCTTTTTTGCAACGAAAAAAAAATGGAGCAGATTTGACTCGGCACAACCTAACGATACATCCAATACCAATGATCTATGCCTAGAATGCGTTGCTAGATCTCTGCTCTAGAAAGCTATATAGGCAACAACGAACGCGATTTGACCCGAGGCTTCCCTTTCATTGCTTCTTTCACGACGAGAGAACCGCGTCCACATCAGTCGAAGTGGTGGAAGGCCCCCCTAAGTCAAGTCAAAGGGAGAGCTTCTGCACCTCTCTCCAAGAGATACGATTCGGTATCTGAATCGGCTGAAGGAAAGTGAAGAGGCGACTACTTTCCCAACCCATGGGAAAGCCTCTTTTTTCTGGTCTACATCAAGTGCATTGAATGCCCCCACAATTAGAATCAAAGAGGATGGGTCAAGGGGAGGTTTGGAACAAAACCAGAGTGGATCTACGGCAAAGCGAAGCCTCCGAAGGTATGGCGGCTTGTGTTGTGCCGTCATTTCAGATTCCCGATCGATTTCAGCACCAGGGTGAATCACCCTGATCTTGAATCAACTAGTAGATCATCAATACAGGGGCCCAATTCATTCTCCAAATGAGTTGGGAGCTAGGGCAGCCCGTGCACGACCTATACCAATCCTACACTCCTTTATCCTATTGTTTCTTTGTCACTTCTTGGAAATCATGAAGAGGATTTTCGGATTGGACTGAGCGGGAGGAGAGAAGACTAATTTTTCATTCCATATAAGGGGGAGCTATTGTGAAGCCTATAAAGGTGGAAGCGGCAAATCGCTTTTACCGAGTTTCCCAACAATAGCTTAGCTTAGTAGCTTCACTCTTTCTACTGGCGTGACGCTGCTGGATGCTTCTGATCAATAGGAAGAGGAGGAAAAAAAAAGCTTATGATGAGCATCTATTTGAGTCGATCATTTTCAAGATCTAATTCAAGTTTTTTCTTATGTAGTGGAAACGCCTTACAATCTGAAGTTTTACGCTTAAGCGAAGAAATTTCTGAGGAATGATGATTTGGCTAAGGGTGTAGGCATGAAGGCAAGCTTCCTATTTTTAGGGGTCTTTAGTTGATTTGCCCATTTTTCTATGTTTTTTGGCATGTCATTATGATGATAAGAGGGGGTGATGAAAGATCTTGTCAAATGATAAAGGAAAATGGCCTGATTATCCACTTTTGTCCGTAGCTCCTCTCTCAGAAAGAAGTCAGAGACTGTATTGCCAGATTATCAGGAGCTTAGAGGCAAGGTTCATCTTTCTCTCAAGTAAGAAGAGTCAAAGGTGGCAGAAAGTAGATCTAGTCAATCTAAGACTGTTTCAAGAGTGATGGAGCCCTTTGTTGTGGGAAGAGAATTGTCACAGGGCGATAGTTCTCAACAGTGTACAAGTTTCAATAGTACGAAGAAAGAGTCCTTGGAAGACTGGTCAATATTCACATCAAGGACGTACAGGAGAAGACGAAGGTCCTTCATAGTTGAAAGATACTGAAGACAATATGGGACCGAAGCTACGGGGGTCGACTCGTATGTGAAAGTCGAACTCGAAGTATGAAAATTCAGCCTATGCAGAAATGATGAAGGGAGAGGCAGTTCTTTCCAATACCTCTGAAGCGCTAAAAGAAAAGAGTGGAGGAGTTAGATCTGGTAGCAAAAGTGACAGCGATAGTATTTTGAAAAGGGGATTTACAATTCCATTTTTTTTGGTTATGTTTTCGTCAATAAGGAGGGCGATATAGAAATAATGGAAAAAGCCTATAAGGCAAGGCTAAGAAAAAGGAAATTGCTCCACCATTTATTTGATTAGTATAGTGGTATACAGTTAACTGACTAGTCGTAGGTTCGAATCCTACTTGGGGAGATCCATGGTTTGACCGGGCCTTTCCTTCTCCCTAGAATCATTCTCAGGATTGTTCAGCTTTCTAGCGGAATCGTCAAACAAAGAGTAGGATGTACTGACTCCCATCCCAGTAGTCCGGAAAAAGATAGAAGTTTCTTGTCTCTGTTCAAAAAGCAACATTTCAGCCAGAAGTGTCTGTTGTTGTTAGTTAATGGACTTTCAATCGGAAGGAATTCATTTTTCTTTCCTTTCGTTAGGCCTACCGAAGCGTTTGAAAAGACTTCAATGGCTAATTATCAGTATGAATCACTGCTTATCTCCCGAGCTTTCAAGTAGCGTTTCCACCCACTTATTCCCTTACTGAATTGGGCTGTACAGGGCCTTATCATACGTGGAAGAATGAGGACTGCCCCGAAAAACCACCCCAAAGCCAAGTCATTATGGTAACATACAGGTTGTTTTCCCTGCAACAACGCTACTCCCACAGCCCCGAAGGAAGCAAGACTTATTGTACTGGCTCAAGATCTTTTGATTGCTTGAAAGATAACTGGAAGGGATTTGGTAGAATACGCATGGCAAAGATGATTCTCTAACTCATCTGCGGACCCTTCTTTAGCATTATCCCACACCATTTCCTCATTCTGATGAGTGCACTTTCGTAGAGGAGTTGTAATTGCAGGAGAATTCAANCTCTAACTCATCTGCGGACCCTTCTTTAGCATTACCCCACACCATTTCCTCATTCTGATGAGTGCACTTCCGTAGAGGAGTTGCAATTGCAGGAGAATTCGAAATGTTCAGGTGGCACCACCAAAACTCCAACGTTCTTTCCTTACTCATTCCTCTGTAGGGCTTGGGTCTTGGCCACTTCATGATGGCCTCCACTCTAGGTCTTAGTTGTCCTCCTCAACCAACATACCCTGGATATACTAACGACTGGCGAGAATTCACACTTCTTCAAGTTCAGCCTTGTGCTTCAAGGCAGGCATCCGAAACAAATCTAGGACTTTGCACATGCTCTTCCCATGTCCCACAGAAAACTGGGATGTCGAGGATACCAATACAGAGTGATCAAAGTATGGCTGCCAGACATAACTCATCAGCCTCATGGATGGACACGATCCCTTACCCGACAAGCTTCAAAGTGCTATAAGTCGCGCGTTAGCCTATCTTGAGAAGGAAGAGATATAAAGGTTGGACAGTTGAGGTACCTTCATTCCCAACAAAAGGAGATGTCTAAATGTCATTAGATACGGAATTTGAAGATAGAAAGGATGGATCGATGGGGGGACTGAACCTTAAGCCAAGTAGAAGGAATAGTCAGAAAAGAGAGAATAAGCTACTACGGATTACACGCTTCTTTCAGGAGACAAGTAGCTAGTTGACTGTAGGTTTAGAGCACACTAGGCTGTCTTCTCTTTGTAGTTGGGAGAGTTGGATGGCACAAGGGGTCTTTCTTTAGGAATTCTTAACTTGACTTGATAGGGCTCCATCTCCATAAGTTCTTGCCAAGGATTCGTCAGAACAGCCCTTCCCTTCCTTCCTGTGCTGGTAGTTTTCTAAGGCTAGTGAAAGTAGTCTTCTATAGGTAGTTACTACTTATCCTATGCTTATCTGCTTGTAGCTCTTAGTTGTAATTCATTTGATTTGAATCCTTACTACACGAAGGAGTAATCTAAGAGCAAGAGGGCTAACCACTATCCTGGTCTCCTATAAAGGCTTTGTTCCGTTAGGTCTTCTTGCCATATCAAAAAAGAGAGGGAGAAGGAACTAGCATAGAGGAGTTGGATCCAGGCTAAGAACTAAGGCTAGTTTTATGCTTAACACATTCAAATCGTATAACTACCACTCATAAGGACAGTGAGGTTTTGATCCCTATTATTAGCTTTTAGTGATACAATAGCTGGAAAGCTAGCAGTAGTCTCAACTACAGCAATTAGAACTCTTAGCCAAGCATGCATNCAGTGAGGTTTTGATCCCTATTATTAGCTTTTAGTGATCCAGTAGCTGGAAAGCTAGCAGCAGTCTCAACTAGAGCAGTTAGAACTCTTAGCCAAGCATGCGTCCCAACGAATACCAACAAGTGGAGTTAACGCTATATCTCATCCTTTCCTTAGTAGGGTTTATCCCTAAACAAAATACCGATTCAAGCCCCTTTACTAGGTTGGGCGAGTCTCACGATTCTCGATTTCTAAATATCTTAATTAAGAGATGAGAGAACCTGGTCGTGTGGTGCTGAACTTCTAGAGCTCTTTTTTGAATAAGAAAGCTTGTCTGTCTCTAGTGCGAATGAGGAATGCAAGATAACAAAGTCGTTTCCGCCCAAAGGGTCCTCTACTGGATCAGTCCTCGGGGATGAAGTCAACTTGCTACTGATTGAGCATGAAGACAGTCTACTTTGAACATGAATGAGACGTGCTACTAGAGAAGAGATAAATTGTTGTTTGGTCAAGCTACCACTGATGTGAACATGTGCATGAACATATGAACATGTTACACATATGACACATGTGTAGCATCAGGGTTGTCAACGAGAGAAGGTTTCTTGGTTACATATAAGACTTTGATTCTTCCTCAATATGATTTGAAACTCTCCTTTATCACAAGGCTAGCTAAAATGGTATTTTCAATCGTCTCTTTGATTTGATGCACTGAATCGTTTTCCTGAAAGCGGATTGACCATGAATTCTGTAACAGAGGCGATGAATATCGTTACTATTGGGATATATATCTTTAATAGCCTGTGATACTAATATTCCCAGTACAATCCACTACTTGTCTTCCTCCTAAGAATAGTAAGAAAGCTCACTGCCCTTGCTATGAATGACTTTTGAATTATTCATTCCTTAGCTAACCGGGAAGAGCCTAAATATGCGAGCAAGAGCTTACCATTTTTTTTAAAGACAGTCGGGAAAGCCCTAAAGGTAATAAGGTCTTTGTTCAAGTCAAGTTACTTAGCTTAGAGAAAGAAAATCGTTAGTGAATGTCAGGAGATGCATACAGTTTCGACACTCGAAGAAAAACTACTTCTTTGATTGTTCCGGAAGTACTACTTGAAAGTCAAGCTCTTTGTTGCAAGCCAAGCAGAATAGAAGATGGAGGAAAGCAGAACTTTAGCTAGTAGACAAACAACTTTCGTTAACAAGCAGTACTCTCATCGAGTAGGGCAAATCTCATACCCAATCGAAAAAAAGGTCTTGGAATCGACTTAGAGAAAACACCTACTTTTTCGTTAGCGAGTACAGTTCAAGCGAAACTGAGACTTGAACCTGAGACTAAAGGTCAAGTGCCTACATAACTATCTGGTCTGGTAAGTGAAAGAAAAAAGGCGGATAGCTAGCCTTAGTCTTCTTGTTCCTAAGCGTAAGGGTAAGACTATTTGTAGATATTAAGACTCTTTCCTCATCTTGCTATTCCAGACCGAATGGAATTACGTAAGAGACGAACTTCTCTCACTATCATACTATTAAGCGACCTGTAAAGTAAATAGTCTTTGTTCCTTCCCTCCCTCTCTCGCCATTGAGATAAGCGCTGATATCAGGATCTGTCCTTTTGGGCTAACTCTGCCAAGATTCAAGATTCAATCCTAAACGCTCTCGGGTTTCCTCTTAAAGTCAGGATATCATCCCTTATTTCACTTACAAAGGGCTTGCCTCTTTCAATCAAGATCATCTGATCTAGGGGTGGGCTATTCTATTGATATTATGTATTTTCATTTATTCGAATAATGAGCCGCTACCCGATCTCGGATCCATTAGGAAGGAAAAGCTCAATAACTGTATTTTCTAGTACAAGATTGAAAGAGGATAGGCGATGCAAGCGCATTACCAACATTCATTCTGATTAGGTTTCACAGTCTGAATCAAAGATTGCAATCTGACAAAGAACCTCGAATGTTGGGATTAACGAAGTTGAGGGACAGAAAGAGGTCCAGGATTGAAAACCTAATAGATAGAAGGAAGGGAAGGCCCGCTCATCATAACAAGGAGATTCGCGACTCACTTCCTCTAGGAGATCGGATCGAGAAAGAGCAACCTATTCAATTCAACAAAGCGGGAAGAATCCGGGACAGGGATGGATCCCGCTTATTCACTGGAAGAAAGCAACAATCTCTTTTTATCAAGGGCAAAGTTTTGATTCTTTGCTCGCCTTTCCTTGAGATCGAACACTTTACCAAAGAGTGAAAGAATGTCTTCACAGGACTCCGTACTTTAACCTTCCGTTTTGCTTTTCAACGAATCAGCTACCTTTGACACGTGGTTGGCTACACCAATTGAAGTTGGTGGGTTCACCTTTGACCTGTGACACATTGGTGAAATGACCAGCAGGCAATGAACGTTGATGGTTCGGTTCTTGATAGGGGGCTTCCAGAAAGAATAGCTTTTTTTCTTTCCTTTCTAGATCAGAGAAAGTCTCAGATTTTAGATTTATAAGCAGATTGATAATGAGAATGAATATAATTAGCCCGTGCCAGAGTGAAGTTCTTTGGCATGAATGTGATAAGCATAATCTTCAAACCCATAAATCATTGAATGAAAGGACTGCTCTTGAGTTTAGTTCATCTGTCCCCTGTTGGTAGGAAATCCATTGGACTGATTGGGGACATCTCCACTTCTAGGAAATTGGGCATAAAAGAGGCCAAAGCAAAAGAACTTGGGTTGGGGACACCACCTTCTCGCAACTTCCAGCATCTCTCAATGGGGACAATCAGGAAGGCGCATCACCTCTTTGAGTTGGAAGAAATGCAAGGTTGCTTGCTTATTTATTTACTTGAGGGTCAAGACAAGCAAGGGTTGCCTTATTGTGATAGGGGGGGCAGACGCTTTTGAAAAATCACAAATGCCACGAATGAGAAAGCAACCAGTTGAGCTGGAAGACTAGGAAAGGCAGCACGCCTAGAGCCATATGAATGAGGTATTGCNAATGAGAAAGCAGCCAGCTGAGCTGGAAGACCAGGAAAGGCAGCACGCTTGGAGCCATATGATATGATATGAATGGGGTATTACTTAGGACGGACCTGAGACCATGACTTCGTCGGAATCGAGCGAAGAACCGAACCTATAAAGTGAAAGAGGAAGGAATGGGGCACATAAGACTGCACTGAACTAGGGAATTGAGACGGAACTTCCCTCCCAATCTCAAGGGAAGGGGCAGCCTCATATCCATTTAACTACACTCCTTCTTTCTCTCCATCTGTTGTTCTCTGGCCTTATCTGTTCATGGGAATCAGCCAGAGGGGATTTCTCGATCAATGATGAGGCTTTGGCACAGTTGTCACACAGAAGACGAAGACACAAGCACAAAAAGAAGAGTAGATAGCACACGTAACTTGATTAGGAAAACCCTAATTCCCAGGTTAACGGAGCTTAACTTCCATTCTTTAGTCTTATCACACTAAACTGCTATTCCTACAAGAACGAGACTGAGCACGAGAACTCGAATTAGACTGCTGCGCGCCTTTCACTCTCTGTAAGGGATGAATTGTGACAGGGCGAAGCATAATCTTAGAGGCCCTTGACCCCAAAATCTAGTTTTTATTCAAATCCCTCCTCAGCCCCTCACCCTGCCTGCACCACAACCTATCATTATCCCTTACCAAACCACCACCCACCTACAATCTTGATAGAGTCCCTTGGAATTAATAAAATAGATACAGAGAAAAGAGAAAGGGAAGATTGTGATGAGATTAGAAACATGACTCGCTCTGACAGATGTTTTAAGTCAGACAACCTGAAAAACAGATAGAGATAAAGAAAAGAAAAAAGGGAAGGAAAAAACTGATGTTTTTCTCAAGGAAATCTAGAGGTAGGAATAGAATGTAACCGAACAGCTTAACAAAGTCCCCACCCAAATTTTGATCTTGGNTAAAGAAAAGAAAAAAGGGAAGGAAAAAACGGATGCTTTTCTCAAGGAAATCCAGAGGTAGGAATAGAATGTAGCCGAACAGCTTAACAAAGTCCCCGCCCAAATTTCGATCTTAGGTCTTCTTTTAACTTAAGAGCACCCCCTTAATGAGATATTGGAACAAATGATGGAAATATTTCGGAATGCACATGTCACCCCAGACATTTCACTAGAGAGATTGGCTCAGCTTCAACCTTGTGAGAGGTGATTGCACCAGTAGCAAAAGAGATCTTAAGATAAAGAGGTACCATATCATATGTGTAACGAGAATGGACATGACACAACAAGTTGCAAGTATAACTTGCTCACACAGGGGTCTGAAAACTTTTCAGTCAAGACCGGTCGGGGCTCTAGAGAGGAAGAATCTACACCGATCACGATGCGAGCAACAAGGTAATGGTGTCCTCGACCAAGCCAAAAGACAGATCTCATCACAGCACTTGCTTTCCCTAAACTATCTATCCTTAGAAGTAGGGTGAGCAAAACTGAAAGAGGGAATTCTCTGATCCGATAGCCTTACAACAAACAAGCTTGCTTAACGCACTAGCTTTGAGTTCCGACTTAAAAGCTCTTAGAAGTTCAAAACCAAAAGACAAAGCGCATCGCTCTCACGCCTGTTAGTAAAATAAGTTATTCACCTTTTATAAACGAGTGTTGTGTACTAATAGACTTGCTTAATATAACCGCAAAGAAACAATGGTTCTATCTATTTCTCCATAAGGGCTGGAGCGCCTTTCGAACGGTATAAGTTACGACTTCGATTCCGAAAAGAGAGATTTGACTCTGATCCACTATCGGAAGGAATTGCCTCACTTACCGCTTGCTCTTATTCCCATCGATATGCCCGAAAACAAGAACTTTCTTTCTCTCATGCCCTTTACCACAAGCCTGACAAAGACAGAATGTTTCACTTGCCCTACCACTTTCATTGCCCGTAAAGACTCTCTCTCTACAACCGCGTTCTCTTTCCTTTTCATTACAAACAAACCGCTGTCATAACTAATAAGGAGTAAAAGAAAGGAGTCTCGGTATTTGTTTTGACTTCCGCTCGCAAAGGAACAAGATCTGGATTTGACTAGGGCGGGCGCTGTTTACTATGCTANAGTCTCGGTATTTGTTCTGACTTCCGCTCGCAAAGGAACAAGATCTGGATTTGACTAGGGCGAGCGCTGTTTACTATGCGAGTGGAGAGATTTAAGCGAGCTAATAGCGAGTGGACTTTGCCCCTCCCTTTCTTTCTTTAGACTTGCAGTAAAGCTGAACAAGTTTACCCAGCTTGCACTTGAGCTTGAAGCCTTTTTTTGAATCCTAATGTCTCATTAAAAAATCTCCAAAGCTAGAAGAAAGGTGAGACTACAACCACTACTTGCCTAATAGTACAGCGCCTTCCTCCCTGACTTGACTTTCCTAGCTACCAAGCCCCTCTTCAAACCCTTGGCAAAAGGACGAAAGGAAAGATTCTCTGTGATACCGCTTGAATAACGATAATCGAGTAAAAAGCCTTAAAGAGAAAGCTTTAGCAACGGTAGGAGTTACTACTTACGCCAACACCTGACGAGCTTACTAGAACATTCTCTTGNAGCCTTAAAGAGAAAGCTTTAGCAACGGTAGGAGTTACTACTTACGCCAGCACCTGACGAGCTTACCAGAACATTCTCCCGCAACAAGAAGAGTTTGACTTGGACAAGTTCATGATATGAAGAGCCTTTAGATGAAGAACGCCCTACTAATACAAGTCAAGGAGAGGAAAGGATTCAAGATCCCGAGACAAGAAGGGGTGAAGGTACTACATATAAGCCTTCAATCCCAACATTGGGCTTGATATCTTTCTTTTCCATTTCTTGAAATATATATATTCCATTTTTTTTAGGCCATGAAGAACGAGAGAGGAGGATGGGGGGTCAAAGCAACGAGACACCGGGATCGCGTCGCCTTACGACACCAATAACAGTCATTTCTAATAAGGAGGGGATGGAAATTGACCAGCCTTAAAGAAGTAGGGGAAAGAAAAAGGTGAAGGAGAGGAACCTGGAAATGGGGACAAAGAAGAAGACGAAGAAAGTTCAAACTCTTTTTTTGAGTTCCAAGGAGGAAGAGGATCCAACGAGCTTACCTTATTATTAGAGAAAGGGGAAAGGGGGGATAATCCATAAGATCCGGTTCTCTAATGTTGATTCTGAATCTGACTAAATTCTTATCTTGAAATCACATTCTTCTCAAAGAAATCTCCCCCGAAAAGGAATTCCATTGAGAGGCAATCATCACTACTTTCTCCCGAGAGCATGGTCCCCCGAGAAAGAATGTATTTTTGTCAATTTCGTTGGCTGGGCAGCCTTTTCTTCTATTGTTCCTTTTAAACATTGGGAAAAAAAAAAAGAAAATAATTAGAAGCCCCATTAGAGATAGGGGTGAATTCGCGTAGTCGGAAGGGAAAGATGGCCAAGGATCGTAGATTCGACCGCGGAAGCAGAAAATAGCACTCGTTGCAACTCAAGAGATTTGGGAGTGTATTAAATATCTGTTCAAGACTTGCATGCAGGTCNTCAAGAGATTTGGGAGTGTATTAAATATCTATTCAAGACTTGCATGCAGGCCTCATAGCAAGCCTTGAATTCGAGCTCCATAGATCCTCCAATTCTTAAAAAATCTTGCTTGTAATCAGAGGAGAGATTCTCAATTCTAGAGAAAAGCAAGGTTTGGAACCCAACTTCTAATCTTTATAGATAGGGGGTTAAATCTCTTCCTTTCCTCCTCTATTTAGCTCTTACCAAGTTCATTATATTTTCCCAAAGGGGGAAATAAGTTGCTTTAATTCCCTCTGGGCGAATAGTCTTCATTTTATCTCTTCCCTCCTGTGGAGCCCCTATAGACGTAAAGGTTCCAAAGGCTCCACTTGACAGGCTCTAAGTCAGTGAATATCTACTTCCCGCCCACCTTCAAGTTCAAGAGTCGTAAGTAAAGAGATCTTTCCTAGAGGTAAGTAAAGGATACCTTTTGGCCTTCTACTCTGGTAGCTAAGTCACTCTTCTCTTTCCTTTAGTAGGAATAGACAAGTCTCACTCTTGCCCTTAATAGGAATCCAAATGCGGAGGTCAGCTTTTTTTAGGTCATAAAGGGAATAGGTTTCTATCTTACTTGAAGATAAGGAATTGATATCTCACTTAATGTCCCTACTAATAATCGAAAGGGCTTACTACAAAAGCTAATAGGGCTCCAAAAGGATGGATGTCTTTCGTGTATGAGGGAGCAGGAAAGAGAGAGTCAACATATGACCCCCAAATAACAGAGGCAAGGGAAGTGCCATTATGATTATTAGTTGTTAGTTTCACTAGAATNCGAATCGAAAGGGCTTACTAAAAAAGCTAATAGGGCTCCAAAAGGATGGATGTCTTCCGTGTATGAGGGAGCAGGAAAGAGAGAGTCAACATATGACCCCCAAATAACAGAGGCAAGGGAAGCGCCATTATGATTATTAGTTGTCAGTTTCGCTAGAGTGGTGTTGGTAAAGAACCTTCCCTCTCTATGGTCAGTTAGTAATGAATCTTTCTTGCCGTGTCGTGCCCTATAGATGAGTAATGGGAAGCTCGCCATAAAAGCAAGGAAGCAAAAGGTAACAGAGGACATCGAGAGCACTATTCTTATTTCTTATTAGTGGCCTTGCTTTAGTAATAGCTTGCTTTGCTTGAGTAAGAGATAGATATGCAAGTCCATGTTTGACGAAGCGGGATATAAAGGGCTTCCCTTTAAAGAAGCTTTGTTGAGAGAATAGGAGTGCGCTGNTAGTAATAGCTTGCTTTGCTTGAGTAAGAGATAGATATGCAAGTCCATGTTTGACGAAGCGGGATATAAAGGGCTTCCCTTTAAAGAAGCTTTATTGAGAGAATAGGAGTGCGCTGCGAACGGGCCCTAAGAAAGAAAAGTCAAACGGTGGTATGTCAACGCTTGTAGTCAACAAGGTTTGGAACCCATGCGACGCCTTTCTCCGTAGGAAAGAAAAGTCAAACAGTGGTATGTTAACGCTTGTAGTCAACAAGGTTTGGAACCCATGCGATGCTGCGCCTTTCTCCGTTTCGTGTTTTTTTGATGATATAGTTTTCTAAGATAGGACAGGTCAGGGGCAGGTGTCTTCGATATGCGATATCCAATACTCTTTCTCAAGTAGGTATGAGATATCCAGTATGCAATGCGATATGCGAGATGCGCTTTCTTTTCTGAGCAGACTATATTGCTTTATATCTCTGTCCTTTACGTCTTCCCGGCTAGGTGAATCAATCTATTCTTCTTTCCAAGCAAGCGACAAAGGGTGTCTTAGAATTTTTTTTTTCCTTCTTATTAAGATTTTTTGCTTCTTTATTAAGAGATATTTTACTTTCCCATATAGTAATATTCTTCCTTCAATGAATTTCGGGTGTCCCCCTTTGTAGGTTTTCTTTTGCTCTACTTCTAAGGATAGATAGTTTAGGTTGGATATAAATCCTTCCGCTGTTTATGTGAATCAAGGAGCAAGAGCATTTTAGGATTCAAAAAAAGGCTTCAAGCTCAGCAAGGTGATAGCTATATTAAGAGTGTTGTTGGCTTTGTGTGCTTTCCCGCTAGTCTTTTTTATGGGTCAATATATGTACTCACTGTGTCAATATCTATCTGAATTGTTGCACAGGTACTCGTACTACTGGCATTATTTGATAATGGAAAATGTGCCTGACTTAGGTAACTCAAGTGAACACAAATCAATACAACCCAAAGCAATTCACCTTTAGCTTTAATCCGATAGGGTAAGGGCGTCCAGTTCTTTATGGTTTGGGAAGTTGTCTCTCAGGGAAAAGCAAGCCCACTTATTAGAATAGGAAGGGCTTGTTGCTTTCGAGTTGTTCTCGGGGGAGGCGACTCTTGTTGTTCTTTCCTAGGGTACGTCCGAAGGGAGACGACAAACAAAGCGTATTAGTTGATTGAGCCTTGCTTGACATCGCTGTTCCAGTCAATCAAGTTGTAAAAAAAAGAATCATAGTCTATCAGTTATATACTTTCACATCAGAGAGTTTTTTTGTTTTTGTTGAATATGCTGTAGTGCACCCCCTTCTTTCTCAAAATCAAGTTTCTCGCTTGTTTAGAAAAGCTTTACTGAGTTTATGAGGTGAAGGCACGAAGGAAGCCGCTTTACCTTGTTTAACCCCTCAAGTTCTATAATTCGAAGGAGGTGATTTCAAAGGTTTCAGATTCTCGGCTGAGAAGTTAGGAGGAAGCCGAATTACAGCAAGCATGAGGCATTTTTCTTCATTTGTGGGGAGAAATTTGTTGGTGGATTTTACCTCTAAATGGGGCAGCGTTCACTTGTACAAACAACCAAGAATGCCCTTCTCTTTCTAAATTGGACAGATTCCAACTCTCGGCTTTAGAGGGAATAGGAGGAGGAGCATTTTTTCAACGTCTTGCAGGAAGCACTTCTTAAACCCATCTTGGACCATATCCCCATTCTCCTAGCCAAGAGGGTGAGGGGGGGGGGAGGTATAAAGAGAAGGCCATCCCCTTTCAAATTTGAAAAAATGTGGCTGGAGGATGAAGGTTTTCTAGAAAAAGTCACTTCTTGGTGGTTCTTCCTTTTCGTTTCAAGAGAAAGCAAGCCCTGTCTTTTGGTTGAAGGTTAAAGCCTTGAAAGAGGAAGTGGAATAAGGAGCAGTTTGGGCGGGTGGACTTGAAGAAAATGGAAGCTTTGGAGGAAATTGCGTACCTAGACCGCACAAAAGAATCAAGACCTCTATCATCAGCATAAATAGCTCTGAGAGTATCAGCCAAAGAAGAATGAAGGAGGCTAGCCCCAAACAAGTAAACAGAAAAGATTAGTTGGCGGCAAAAGTCGAGAATGACGTGGTTAAGGGAGGGGGATAAGAACACAAAGTTCTTCCATCGAATAGCGAACGCGAGAAGAAGGGTAAACACCATATCTAGACTAGAGGTAGAAGGGGTCATTATGGAGGAGGAGGAAGCGATTAGCGGTCGAAAAGTTCTACAAAGAGCTTTACGTGGAACCGCATTCGTTTCGACCGACGCTAGACGGAGTCTAATTTGAAAGCATCCCTATAGAGATGTGTGATTGGTTGGAAATGCCTTTTGAGGAAGAGGAGGTTTTCAAGGCTTTGGGGGAGATGTGTGGAGACAAGGCCCTAGGGCCCCCCAACTAACCCCCCCGCCCCTTGATGAGTAAGCTCCGTAAACTAACCCCCCTTTGCCCCTGGAAAATGAATGTCAGGTGCTCCCCTCCTCCCGAAAGAAAGAATTCCATCCTCAGCCCTATAGAGAGAGGGGATGGATAGAGACTAATCTCTTTCTACATGCATATTTTTCCTCCTTTTTTGCCATAAAGCCTCCTTTCCTGAATCTTAGCTCTTCTCTTTCTTATTTATTATTACTACTATCACTTTCTAAATCTGGCCGGCAGAATGAAACCTTAACGTATCAGGGTCGTATGCCTGGAACAAGTCATACAATTTTGGCGATTACAAAAATAAAGGAGTATATTCCTCTCCCTTAGTGTCTTTCCACTTCCATCTTTCAGTAACAATCACTTCACCTAATTTTTTAGAATCCCGGCCCAGTTTTTCCCCACTAACTAATTACCTTATGACCACTGAAAAAACTTGGTTGACGAACATGGTTTATGTGCCACTAATGTAGCGACTTGTCGAGCATTTAACAAACTCACACCATCCATTTCAAATGGGATTTGTCCCGTGGACACACGAGCAATCCAACCCCCGTAGGATTTCCTTTTCCTCTTCCAATTCTGACTTCTGTAGGTTTCCCGGTAATAAGGAGATCTGCGAAAACTCTTGCCCATATCTTACCATTTTTTCAGAATTGTCCGCTCATTGCATGATTGAATTGTCCGATTATAGCCTGNCTTACCCATATCTTACCATTTTTTCGGAATTGTCCGCTCATAGCACGATTGAATTGTCCGATTATAGCCCGACGCGCTGCTTCAATGGCTCGATATG